ACACCCCCACCACACACACAGCCAGCTAACCAAGCGAACCGTGCGAAGACTGGTGGAGAAGCGGCTACAGCTGCCGGCCAACTCGCTCGACAACTCGACTGACAAGCAGGCCATGTCCGACATTGTGGTCGATATCCTCTCGGCTTCGGCTACCCAGCCGACCGCGGCAACCGCGGCCATCTCCGCGGCAACAACCACGCCCGCCTCCGCGGCAACAACCGCCCCCGCCACCGCCCCTACTTCGCTGACCCTTTCCGCCCCGTCTACCACTGCTGCTCCTCCAGACGACGACAATGACGACTTTACGTCGACGGCGCCGGCCGTCAAGGCCGATCCGGCGCAGGGCAAGCGGAAGGCGCGCGCAATGGCGGCTGGCAAGGCCGACAAGGCGACAAAGAAGGCAAAGGCGTTGGATGGCTCGGCTGTAGTTGCCCGCGTTGCGGTCGAGGAGAGGCAGCTGTGGCAGCTGGGATCGACAGGTAACGTCCGTGTCGACGTCACAAAGTTCCGCTCCCGCAAGTACGTCGACGTCCGGAAGTGGTACAAGAAGAAGGGCACCGGCGAGATGTGCAGAACCCAGAAGGGCATCATGCTTGCCCCCGACCAGTGGGACAAGCTTAAGCTCTTGTTCCCCACACTCAAGGCCGCTTTTGCAGCCGCGCGCGACTCCTCCTAATGCACCACCCCATCGGTAACAATTACTTCTTGCCTTTGCCCTTGCCCTTGCCCTTGCCCTTGCCCTTGCTCTTGGTCTTGCCTTTGCCCTTGCTCTTGCCCTTTTCCTTTCTCTTGCTCTTGCCCTTGCCCTTGCCCTTGCCCCTCTCCCGATGCGACTTGCGGCTGCGCCGCCCTCCATCATCCCCAGTCACCGATGGCGTCCCGGGCCTGCTCCCCGCCACGCTCGCAGCCTCGCCTCCGTCCTTTGCAGGTCCATCCGCTCTTGCCGCTGACATGGATAGCGCTGCCTCGGTCCGCGCTCGCTGGGCTGCCACCGCCGCCAGTCGTGTCCCCTGCGCCGGTACAAACTTGCTCCCTCCGTCAGCCCTGTACGCCAGCGTGTACTTTGCCCGCGCCTTGACCCGGTCATTCGTCTGCTTCTCCAGCGGCGCATCAACATTGGCAAGGCCGACTGGTGTTCCGTTTGAGGCCAACACGTCAAGCGCAGCGCCGGGAGGTAAGACCCCGCCTCCGGCCTCGTGCAAGTTGCGCAACGACCCGAGAAACGCCGCCACCGTGCACTGAAGCGACATCATCTTGAACCCGCCCGCCTCTCCCTTTGCCTTTCCCGGCGACGCCGGGCCCATCGTCTTTCTCCCACGCCTCCGCCCGTTTCCGCGTCCACGCCCCCCTCTCCGCCCGCGCCCCGTCGACCTCTGCAGTGACGGCGAGACTGAGACCGATCGGCCCCCCGCCCCCCTATTAGAGCCCGTGCCACCACTCTCCGAGCCCCCACTCGCCGAGTCCAAGCCCGATCCTCGCGAGTCTGTGCCCGAGTCATATCTCCTTCCCTCTTCTGGTCTTGATCTCGATCTCGATCTCGATCCCGATCCCGATCCTGATCCCGATCCTGATCCCGATCCCGTTCCCGGTCCTGAGCCGGAGCCCGCCCGGGCACCAGCCTCGCGCTCCGGACGCGACCGCTTGCTCTTTCTCGAGCAGCTTCGGCTCCGCTCAGCGCCTCCATAGTCGACAAACACAAACGACATGCTTCACGTCCACCTCCTCTGCACCACAATCTTAGCTCTTGCCCACCAACCTGAGACCAACCTCGTCCGAGCTCGGTCTTGGAGTTGGCTGCTGTCGGTTAACGCCAACGTGTCACACAACCCGAGTCGACCACCAAAGCATCGCGCTGCATTGTCTCTGTTTACGACCTGCCTTTAGCCTCGCGTGGTGTCGCGGATGCCTTTGAGGAATGGCATGATCGACGTTCCGCCGGTTCCCTTCTCTGACGATGGCCGCGCAGGCGATTGCTGCAGGATGTACCGCGCCACAATTTGAATGTGCCGGTTGCGGAAGAGGGCGAGCGCCTCACGGCACGCCAGGTACATCTGAAGCACTGCCGGCTCGCCGCACGCGTGTGCGTACTCGCGGAGTGACGGTCCGTGCCAAAGCGCGTCGATGAGTCGCGCGTGCGGCCGAGGCATGTGCGCCACCATCGCGTCGAGAAACGCCGACTCGTGCTCAATGTCCAGCCCAGCATCAAGCGCTTGGATGAGCGACGACTGCGCTGCAGACGCCCCGTTGAACTTGCCCACAAACGATGGCGTCGCCGACCCGGATGCCGCTGCCACACGCTCCGGCCGCGTCGCGGTGTGGTCAAAGTCGGGCGTGACGCCGGCGTACGTCAGCCCGTTCGGCAGCTCGCTGTTGCCGGCCCACCCCGCCAGAAACAACCTGATCCGCGAGTAGAAGACCGCTGGCATGCACCGCTCCGGCAGCCGAGCCAGTGCATCGTCCATCGCCAGCACCGCCGCCAGCACTCGCTGCAGTGCGTTGAGCACCATTTCCGGCTCGCCGAGCACCACGCCGTGCATGCCCTCCACAAGTCCCACCAGCGCAGGCGCACCGGCGCCCTCCACTCCCAGTGCAGCAGTGTAAAACCAGGCCTCGTCCATTCCACCCAGAAACAGCGAGTTCATGCCGAGGTTGTCCACCACCGCGCCCTTGTCCTCGTCGATCTCGTGATAGTTGGCCAGCGCAATGCTCGAGTGGGTGATGACCGGCGGTCGGCCCACCATCGCCGCCACCTGGCACCACGGAACCGCGAGTTGAGGCGGGAGCTCGTCCACCGGCTTCCCGCCCACCACCGTGTCCTGAAACACATACCCGTGCGCGAGGAGGCCAAGGACTAGAAACGCCCGCTCCAGCACCCTCGGCGAAGCGCCTGCCAGCACCTCACTCGCGTCCACCAGCGGGAGTCTCTCCATGGACTCGCGATGATCCCAGTCAGCAGCCGATCGTTGAGCTCATCTACCGCACCCTCCCACCCTTGTGCCCACTCGGCCTCCAGCCGCTTCATCGGCGCCGTTGCCCGCAGAAAGCCTCTTGTCGGCGAGACATCATGATCCGTCAGCGCAGGCACTTTGTTCCCTCGCTTTCCGCCCTTCTTCCTCCTTCCCCGCACACCAACCGTCCCCGCCTCGCCACTTCTGCCCATCGTCGCCTTTCCCATCCCCTCTCCGCTTCCCCACCAGCTCGTCGTCATCCGCCTCAGCGCCCACATGGCCACCAACGCTCCGCATGCTCCGCCCACTGCCACAGCCACAGCCTTCTGCGACACGCTCACTCGCACTTGCATATATAGATATATGTATATGCCTCGCGACTCGCAGTCACAAGAGTCACGTGTGGTGCTCTCCCAACTACCGGCCATCGCGACAGGTCAGCGAGCACGGACGCTGGCCGCAGGAGACCATTCGGCAACATATCATGCCCGCATCAACAGCAATGATAGCTCAACCTGTCGCTCGATCTGCACCGAGACATTGTTCCCCCCCACCACCACCGCCACCACCACCACTACTTAGTTCTCCTCATCACAACCTCTGTCCCAGCCACTTGCTGGCTAGCCCGTACTGTCTTTTCCCAGCATGTACCCCACATCCGAGACAAAGCAACTGTGGTGGCAAAGAGCAGGCAATTTTTTCTCGTTCCACCCCCCCCCCCCCCCCGTCCCCTCCTCTCCTCCCAATCTCCTCCCTCCGAACCAATTTGCGCACGTGAGCTGTCGGGAATGTCGGGAAAAAAGCCGCAGTCCGCCCACTCGACGCGGCTAGTACCCTCTTCCGCTCCCCCCCCCCCCCCCTCCCGGCCACCCATCCACAGCCTACACCCCCACCCCACCATCTCCACCACCCGCACCACCCTCTTCTCCACCCTCTCTACCACGGATTTCCCCCTCTTCTTTTATTTTTTCCGTATTTCCTCGCCTTGCTGCCCCCTACCATGACCTCGTTTGTTCCATGCGTCGTGGTGGTGTTGATGGCAACGACCTTGGTCGTCACCCACCCCACAGTCATGGCAGCAAGCCTGCCTATCTGCTCCACCTCTGCTGCTTCCACACATACGAATGCGCAAGCAAATCCGTGGACGGTCGGGCTTGTGTTTGAGTACACCTCGCCGGACGCTTACTCTATGGCCTCTCTCTGTGGCGCTACCTTTGGCTGGGTGGGTGACCCGGGCACGGTCACCTACGCGCTCTACGAGTCGCCAACGCTTACTCTCACAGACTTTGTCAAAGTCTCGGCCGACTTTGTCGGTTCGGCTCCGCTTGTGGCTGGTCAGGAGTATGCTGTCGGTGATACAACGGCAGAGGCCAACTTTGCTCAGCCGCTTCCGCTCACACCCGGCAAGTATTATGCTCTCCTCGTCGCCTCCAGCAACGCGGTCACTTTCCCCCGCTCCCAAGGTGCTGTTCCTATCTCGACTTGCTCCTCCTCGCTCAACCTCCTCCAGCTACTCAAGAGCGATCTTGGGACTCTTCCGGCCTCGCTCTCAGCCTTTTCCGTCAACGTCAACGCCGTGCCCATCGGCCGCATCTCCATCTGCCCCGCCTGCCTCCCACAGCCGTCTCCGCCGACAAACGGTGCCGTCTCGACAACTGCTGTCACTCCTGCCCGCATGATCAACGGTGACAGTGCTACCTATACTTGCAACGCCGGATTCATGATCTCCGGCTCGCCTTCCCGCTCCTGTACTGACACTGTGTACTCGGGCCCAGAGCCGACCTGTGTCGTCGCCTCCTCGCCGCCGCCGCCCCCTTCACCTCCTCCACCGTCTCCCTCGCCGCCGCCGCCGTCTCCCTCGCCGCCGCCGCCCTCGCCGCCGCCGCCCTCGCCGCCGCCGCCCTCGCCGCCGCCGCCCTCGCCGCCGCCCTCGCCGCCGTCTCCTTCGCCTCCTCCCCCCTCGCCGCCACCACCCCCTACCCTTCTTCCGGCTCCCACTATCACGGCAGTCATTGCTCACGATCCGTCTTCCTCCGACACCAGCCTCGGGCCGGGTGACATCTTGACCATCGTCTTCTCCGAGCCGACCAACACCCCGCCGCTGTCTTCCGCTGGCCTTCTCGACTCGGCGCTGACCTGCTCGCGAACGCCAGATACCCCTCCGGTTGCCCTCTCGGCGTGCCTCGGAGCCTCGCTCTCGGGCGTTTGGTCTGCTGACAGCACCACACTCACCATCACCATTGTATCGTCGCCGCCGCCCCTTGCCGACATCCCGCGTCCGGGCGCCGCTGTCTTTACTCCGACAGGCGGCCTCGCCATCCGCAACTCTGCGCTCACCTCGGCCGCCGCTGCTGTACCTTCGCCAGTCCTCTCGGGCTCGTGGGGCGCGGCGTCGGCCGAAGTCACGCTCATTGTCGAGGGCTCTGGCGGCGCAGCGCTGACTACGGCTGACGTCGCCGAGGGCGACTCGCTCATCATCCTTGTCCAGCTCTCGCTCCCGCCGGCTGCTGACGTCACCGTCGACTTTCGTCTCGACGACGCTCTACCGGGCGCGCCGCGCCCGCCGCATGCCTCACTCTCTGCCACTTTGCTCACCTTCACCCCGTCGAACTACAACAGGTTTCAGAAGCTGACACTCGCTGCTGCTCCTGACGCCTACGCCGACGAGGGCGATGCGACGCTCCAACTCGTACTTGTCTCGGTTGCATCGGCCGATCCGGTTTTCGCTGCCGCAGTGCCTGCTGAAGGCTTGTTGTACCCCATTACGGTTGCTGACACCACGCCACAAGGCCTCGCCTTTTCGAGCCTTGGCTACGCGGCAGGCCACGCTGAGCCTGTGGTTCCGCCGACCACGCCGCTTCCGCCGACCGCCTCCGGTCTCCTCCGCCTCTCGCAGATTGGCAATCTGGTGTGTGGCCGTGTCCATCTCCGCTCTTTTCCGTGGAAGGCGACCAGGACCGGGGACCAGGCCCGTGTTGTTGTCTCGCTCTCGACGAGCGCTCCCGATCTTGTGTCCGTCCTCACTCGTGCCACGCCGGCCGAGTACCCAGCCCCGCCGGCGAAGACCACCCGCACCAGCCTGCAGTTGCTGCCGGGCACCAGTGGACCATCGACCACATTTGTGCTTGGTGCCCGTGCTGAGGCTTCGGTTGTATTCGATGCCCTCGCCGGTGGCGAGTTCTGCCTTGTGGCTCGTGCCGACGTTGCGCTCGCAGCTTCCACTTTGGTGACACTCCAAGCCGTTGTCCTCGCCGAGCACACCACTGCCGCCGGCTTCCCGTCGACACTGACTGCCGAGCATGAGCTGGCACTTGTTGCCGTTGCCTGGCCCGTCGTGACCACCACCGCGCCACTGGTTGCGACCCGTGCTGGCTCGCCGGTTGCCCTCAAGGGCTCTGGCTTGACGGCCGGCCTCGAGATCGCGGTCGCATCGCAGCTCGCGCCGCCAGCCCAGGCCAACATCACGGCTTCGGAAAGCGGCGACCTGCTGCGACTGGTCACGCCACCGGTGGCAGACGAGGGCTACCTGGAGCTGACGCTCCGCGACCCGGTCACAGGTGCGTCTGTCACTTTCCCAGACCTGTTCTTTACGAACGACTGCCCGTATGAGGGCAGCTATGGGATTGGTGACGACTGTCGGTCTTGCCCAGACGGCGCATTCTGCCCTGGCGGCAACCGGTTGTGGCCGAACGAGGGCTTCTGGGCCGCTGCGGAGGACGCTGGCTACATCCAGCCATGCTCGCATCCGGCGCGCCGGTGTGCGGGCGGGCGGCGGTCCGAGTGCTCGCCGGGCTACTCCGGCCCATCGTGCGCGGTCTGTACTTCTGGCTACTATCGAGTCGGGCCATCGTGTGTGGCATGCTCGTCGTCGTCGGCAGTCTTTATGGTCCTTGTGGCTGCCAACCTAGTCTTCTGCGGTCTCCTGGTCTGCGCCATGCTGTTCCTGTCGGACGCGGTGCTCAACCTCGCGATTCACACGCTGCTCGCGGTGGTTGTTCTCTATACGGCCGCCAAGACAAACGCGACTGCGATGACCGGCTGGCTCGCCGAGGCCTACCAGGTGCTGTCACTTGCGGCTCTCGACTTTCACTTTGTGCGTCCGGCGTGCCAGGGTGTACCAGGCTCGTTTGCGGCGCTGTTCTTTGGCGCGCTGGCGCTTGCTGTCGTCATGGCTGTCGCCATTGTTGTTGTCCTCAAGCTCGCTGCCCGCTCAGTGCCGGGCAAGTCTGAGTTCTACAGGCAGCGCGTGCCTCGTGCCCTGTCGATGTATGCCCAGCTGATGTTTGTGACGCTGACGCAGGTCTTCCTCCAAGCGCTGGTGTGCGCACGGGTCGATCGTGACAACATGCCGCCGCTCTGGGTCCTTGAAGCCTCGCGCGACATTGTCTGCCTCTCAGGTGGCCACCTGCAGTTGTTTGTGGTCGGCCTCGCGGGTTTTTTGCTCTTCTCACTCGGCCTCCCGCTGGCGGCGGTCTGCAAGCTGCGCAAGCTTCGGTCGGCAGGCCTACTCGCCTGGGCCGACTACCTCGACCTTGCTGCCGCAGCTCCGGGGCAGCAGCGTTTCGAGCGCCTGGCCGACGCAAGCGCCACGCTTGAAGCTGTCCACCTTGACGTCCACCTCTCGGCGAGCGGGTGGGAGGACGAGCAGCACGAGGCGATTGACAGCGGCCAAGGCGCCGTCCGAGCCCGCTGGGGCCTCCTCTATGAGCACTTTCGGCCATCGACCTACCAATGGCTCGGCTTTCAACTCGGAGTCCTGTTTGTGATTGCGGCGGCGTCGTCTGTCCTCGCTGATGCTCCCGGGTGGCAGACTGCGGTTGTTGCTGCTGCTCTGCTGACGGCAGCGGGCTTGACCGAGGTGGTGGCCCCGTACGGCGCGCGATGGCGCAACCATGTCTGCGCCGCTGTCCTTGTTGTGGCGTGCCTTGCGTCGGTCGTGTCGCTCGCGGTCGCAACCGGGCCGCTCCGAGTTGCGCGCTGGGAGCTGTCGTTTGTACTCATGGCTGTGCTTGTTGTCGCAGTTGTGGCGGCATGTGTTGCTTCCGTCCGTACCGCGGCTGCCGCGCTACGACTGGCGCACCCGACCAAGGTCGGACCCGCCACGTCAACACTCCCAGTGGCGTCGACGGTGGCCCATGCATTGTCGATGGGCGTGCCGCCGACGTATCGCACCAACAACTTGAGCGTCGCCCACACACAATCGCGCTCCTCGGTTACTTCGGACTCGACTTTGTCGTCGTCGTCGTCCTCCTCCTCGTCGTCGTCGTCGTTGAGCTCGAACAACGAGCCGTCAAGGTCTCTCTCGCCAACCCCGCAACGGCTCGGTATATCTGCTTTTCCGGCTGAGCCGCCCTCGCCCCATTCACCACCTGTCACCCGCAAGTCGTCGTACCGGCGGCAGGCGTCGGCAGGTGGGGCATCGGTGGGGACGTCGCGTGCGTTGCGAGGCAAGCGACAGTTGTCGACAACGTCGGTCAACTCGCGCAAGTCACTTCGCCCCAGTCGCTCGCGGCGCAACGTGGCCTCGTCGCTTGCACGGAATCGGGTCCGAAACATGTCGGCCTCTGACCTCCCGAGAAAGTCGATGGAGCTTGATGTCACGCCGCGCGCGACTGTGTCTATAGCGCAGACGTCGACGAACTCGGGCTCTGACGCTTCCCACTCGCCGGAGCCAAGCTCCCCGCGCGACGTCCGCACCGCCACCCGTGGCCACCATCATCGCCGGCGGTCGTCGGATCGCAAATCGATTGCGCACATGTCACCTGTTCCCTCGGCATCTTCCCGTGTCGTGGACCACCACCGGCGGCACTCGAGTGTTTCTATTCCTTCATCGCAGTAAAGCGGCACCCCAACAGCTGCGGCAGGAATGGTGCGAGGTATTTCCAAGTGCTAACCCTTGACGATACGGTACGGTCGTTCAGACGCGTTGTCGCGCGTCTCAAAGTGAACAACTCGATGATGCTTGACTTCCAGGTTACCGTCCGACGCTGCGCGACGCCTACTTGGCCTGCAGCTGGAGGTGGAAGGCGCATCTGCACGTGATGGCGGCCGACACGTAGACGCCCGCCTGAAGGATGCCCGAGTTGCCGCCGCGGTGACGGACGCCTGGGAGCATGGGCGAGGCGCACAAAGCAGAACAAAAAAAATAGTCGCCGCAAACCAAAACTCACGCCAACCGATACCCAACGAGCAGCGCCTGGCCACTACGACCCACACCAAACGCATCAGCATCGAGGACCACACCACAGTACACATCACCCGCGTCCACATCCACATCCACATCCACATCCACATCCACACACACACACACACACACACACACACAACCACACACACACACACACACACACACATCTTTCAGTAGCATGCTCCTCTCTGGGTGGGCCATTGTGGACACATCTTTCAGTAGCATGCTCCTCTCTGGGTGGGCCATTGTGGGCACTGGAGTGCTCAGCTTCTGCCTCACCTTTGTCCTTGCCCTCGCTGGCTACTTCCTCCTCGCTCGGTGGACAACACCCAAGGCAAACCAGACGACATCATCTGCACCACAACTGTGTACCTCTCATCCAAGGCAATGGACAGTGGCTCTGCTCCTGGCAGCTGCTGTCACGTTAATTGTGGTCATTCCATTGGCTACTGTCTCGGATGCCAGTGCGGCCCACAACTCGGTTCATGATGCCTACGTCATGCCCATCTCCTTCAATGCCTTTGTTGCTCTCGTCGTTGTCGTAGGCATCGCCGCAATGCTCTTCGGTACCATCGCTTGGTTCTTTGGTTATGAGCGCTCTGCCTATGCTTCTCTCTCGGCATGCTCCATGATCCGCCTCCCGGTCATGGGCCTCATGGCTGGTCTCATCACCGCGTCCATCGTTGGCCTTGCTGTCGGTCTCTCCGGTGATCTGCCAGCTTCTGCTGGTGACATCCCGCGTCAGTCGGACGCCTCGCTTTTCTGGTCTGGCGTGGGACTTGGGGTGGGCATTGCGGGCTTCCTCGCCTTTCTGGCCATCACGCTTGTGTTCTACCAAGAGTCGGCCAACATCCACGCCATCCGCTCGGCGATGCCCAACCACATGCTGACCCAGGTGGTAGGCCTCGTGGCCGCCGACGATCGCAAAGCCATTGCACTCCTTGCTTCTCGCAACGAGGAGTACCTTCTCTCACATGGCCTCCTCTACTGCATGCAGGCTGTCCAACACGATCTGGTCGACGACGACGCTCTGGCGTCCTGGCCGCCGCAGGCCTTCCGAGGCCCGCTCGCCGCGGCCCTCTTCTCCATCCTCGGCGACGGCCCTTCGCTCTTTGTGTGGCAGACGACCGACCAGATCGAGCGCGTCCGTGCCGTCACTGACGACATGAAGAAGGCCAAGGCGTGGTCAAACAGCAAGCGCCGCGCCAAGCTCCACCGCTACTTGTTGGGCGCCAAGGCGCCGGCCGACTCGCTCAACGATGATGCCGAGGTGCAGCTCGGGCCGTCCGAGGCCCGCATCGCCCGCGCCCTTCTCGCCTTTGTCGACGACTCGTCCGTCTGCCCCATCTCCGCCGCCAACCTCGCCCGTCGCGTCAAGGCTGTCTACTCGACCAAGTTTGGTACGACCAAGTTTGTGGGCAAGGCCGCCCGCAAGACCGCTCTTGCCCTTGCCGCTGGCTCGTCGTCGTCATACGACGGCTCATCGTCGGGCCCGTACTCATGGTCTAACGCCTCGAGCTCGTCGTCGGTCCACTACTCGTCAGCGTACAGCGGATCTTACAGCTAGCTAGCCAGTGAACACGCTTCCCACTGTGTTTGCTTTGCCTCTGTCATGTCTCACCATCGCGACGAAGACGCACCGGCGCCGGCGCTTCCACCTGGACGATACTTTGCGCGGACGCCCGAGGCCGTGGTGACCCGCGACGAGGAGGCGCCCGCCGAGGCCGACGGCGCGGCGTTGGTCATGGTCTCGGCGACCTGGTTGAGGAAGGACCGCGAGTTGTGGATGTAGTTGCCGCCGACGACAATGCGAACGCCGGTGCCCGACGCGTTGAGGCGGGCGGCATAGGCGGCCTCCTCGTACGTCATGCCGCCGACAAAAAAGACGATGATGTCCGACGGCGGGTCGCGCGACGGCGAGCCGAGCGCGTACGGGTACTCCTCCTCGCGGAGCTTGCCCTTGAACATTTCATCGATGACCTCTTCCAGGAGAGTCACGTGCTGGGTAAAGACGTTCTCGATGTCCTCCAGGCCGCGGCGGTAGCGCTTCTTGAGCTTCTTGAGAATGCTCTTGTTCTTAAACAGGTCGCCACCGCGGACGCTTGTGCCGCCGTAGCCGACAATGTCTGAGATGAGCTGCACGTCAGCCTGGGTGAGTCCGCGCTCAAAGAGCGCTGAGACAAGCTGCGAGCAAGCGTTCGACGAGTTTGTCTCGTAGCGAAGCGCGTAGATGAGGACCAGGCGCAGCGCGTCCTCGTTGCCTGTGGTGGTGTCGTCGAGCAGGGCACGGAGTGCACGGAGGTGCTCGCCATGGCCCGAGCTCGAGCACGCCATCTCCTGCTCCAGCTCTGAACACGCCATCAGGCCGCGCTCTTCAACCTGCCGCGAGAGCTCCGACGTCAGTGCCACGTGCTTCGAGACGTTGCCGGACATACGTTTGAACTCGGGGTAATCCTCAATGAACCGCTTCATGTCGGCAATGGTCGAGACCGACTTGTTCGAGTTGGTCTTGGCCTGGAACCGGTCAAGCAGCTCCTTGAGCGAGACGCCGAGATCGCCAAAGTTCTGGTACATGACCTGCCGGTAGAACTCATCCTGCTCAGCCGAGAGCACCACCTCGTGCATATCTTTCCGCACATCACGCACGCCCGACAAGTCAACCCGCTGGTTGGTGATGCCCAGCAGTTCGTGGACCATGGCCTGGTACGTCCATTGCGAGAGTAGCGGCGTGATCGGGTCGTCGCGTCGGTCCATGATTAGCAGAAGCGGTCGCGAGCCCGAGGCACTGCCGTAGTCGCCGTAGAGGTCAAACTCAAACAGCTCGGCATCCTGCTGCATCCGGTACTTGACCTCCTCTGCAAGCCGCGACGCCTTTTCCGAGCGCCCGGCAAAGCGCACATTCGGTCGCTTCTTGAGAGCCAGCAGTGTCGAGAACAGGCCGTCGACCGTCCGGCCAAACGTGAGCGCGTCCCAGGTGTCAGGCGTGGGGCCGGCAATCGACGGCTGGTTGAGCGAGAACACGCACGGGTTCACGGCCCACACGTCGGCAAAGTACTCGTGGACCTGCGAGACAACCTCATGCTCGTCGGCGTGCGCAAGCTCGACGACCTGGGCGTCGAGCAGCGTGTTGGAGAAGAACAGGTGGTACTCGGCGTACTTGGGGCTCCGCAGCTCGCGTGCCAGCGCCGCAATGTTCTCGCCCGTCGGCCGCAGAAAGCACACCGCCTTCATGTGCAGCATTTGCTCCCGCTCCAGCTCCAACTTTTCCACCAAGTACACCTCGCGCTGCAGGATCTGTGACTGAGTGTATGCCATTGACACCATTTGCAGCGTCTCTGTGTCCAGCAGCAGCACCTTCATGCCTGTCCACCCTCCTCCCCACCCATCCGTATCCACCCAGCTCACCAGCCATACCCAACCCATGAGTCACATGCCCGAGTCTTACACCAGCCCCATCACACCCACACCCACACCCACACCCACCGCATGTGCCAGGAGAGCTTGAGGGGGCGGGAGGAGGGGGGGGGAGGAAGGAAGGACCCGTCCAAAAAACAGGGGCCAGACACAGGTCACACACACACACACACACACACATACACACACACACACACATACACATACACACATACACCCGGCAGAGACAACAGAGGGACAGGGTATGGGTGTACGGCAGGTAAAGGGATATGGGTACATGGCAGGTATAAGGGCACAGGTAGAGTCATGGCGTCACTAAACCAGGCCGACAGGGCACAGGCCATGGTGGCCATGGTGGCACAGGCCATGGTGGCACAGGCCATGGTGGCACAGGTCATGGCTACCATTTACATGGCCAAGAGTGGGTGGGGATGGGGAAGAACGTGGTGGCTACGTACCAGATACGTCAGAAATCATGTTGGTCACATACTCCTTCACAGCCTGAACAATGTCCATCTTGGGCTGGTTGACGCGGAGCGGAGTGAGTGCGGTGTCGCCGTCTCCGCGCCGCTGTCTCTCTCCCTTGGCCGCCACCCGCACACTCCCGATCTCTACAGACATCCTCCTGCAGCTGCAATCAGTCGATCTACACCATGGTGCATGTGCCCATCCATCAGAGAATGGCCACCATGTCCCTCTCCCCGCCCACAATCGGCCGATACCCTCTGCCGCACACGGTGTTGGCGAGAGCGCCACCGCCAGCGGGCGAGCAGGGACAGCGCAAACGAGTACCACCTCACTTACGAGACGTTTATGTTTGCAGCACTTCGCCTGGGTGCTCGCCGTGTGCTAAACGATGCGCAAGCGAGGCGCGGGGCCATGGCGGGCCAGGGAGCGAGGCAGAGGCGGACGATGTTTGGCGGAGTGAGCGGACGATCCGAGTCAGTTGGACAGGGCGACGGAGATGCTGGAGCTGGCCATGGCTTTGGCGATGATGCTGGACTGGATGCTGATGTGGTGGTGGCTGGTGGCGGCGTCCTTGGCCTTGCCGTTGCTGCCGCTATGGCTAGAGAGTCTGCCTCGTGGGGCTCCATCATTGTCGTCGATGCTGCGCCCAAGCACGGCATGCACACCTCGTCGCGCAACTCGGGCGTCATCCATGCTGGCATCTACTACGCCGAGGGCTCGCTCAAGGCTGAGCTGTGTGTGCGTGGCAAGCAAATGTTGTACGAGTATGTTGCTGATCGCGGTGTCGCCCATGCACAGTGCGGCAAGCTCATCGTTGCCAGCAGCGGCGAGGCCGATGCCGCCAAGCTCGACAAGCTCATCTCCAACGCTCGAGCTGCGGGTGTGCATGATCTCGTTCGGCTTGACGATGCCCAAGTTGCTCAGCTCGAGCCCAATGTGGTATCATCAGGGGGCGCGGTCCTCTCGCCGTCGACTGGCATTGTTGACGCGCCGGGGCTCATGGTCTCGTACCTAGCCGAGATTGAGGACGCCGGCGGTGTGTTTGTGCCCAACACCCAGATCACCGGCGTGGTGGCCCGTACCGACGGTGCATTTGACGTCCATGCTGCCGATGGCTCGGTCATCCGCGCTGGAACTTTTATCAACGCCACCGGGCTCTGGTCCGGGGCCTTTGCGCAACACTGCGAATGGCGGAACGAGCTAGGCGGCGAGCCGCTTCTTGCACCCGACTCGCTGCCGACAGTCACTTTTCTCAAGGGCAACTTTTTCGCCGTCGCACCGAGCGTCGCCGCCCGGCTCGACTTTCGCCACCTGATCTACCCGTTGCCGGCCTCACACTCGCTCGGCATCCACGTCACCTTTGACACTGACGGCAACGTGACGCTGGGACCCGACCAGGAGTTTGGCGCTGCCTTTGATCCCTATGCCTCCCTCGAGGCGCAGCCCGACTACTCGGTCGATGCCGCCCGCGCCGCTTCGTTCCTCGAAGTCCAAGCCTTTGCCCCAAGCCTGCCAGACTCGTGCCTCACTCCGGCATACTCGGGCTATCGCCCGCAAGTCCCCGGCCGGGACTACATCATCCAGGGTCCTGCCGATCACAACGTGCCTGGCCTCGTCAATCTCGTTGCCATGGAGTCACCAGCCCTCACATCGTCTCTTGCCATCGCCGATCACGTCCTTCGCCTGCTGTAGCACCGACTCTGGCCATTGCAAGCCGCTAAACGACGGAACGCCATCATCGCCCATCGCCCGCCTCGGCCCGTCGCCCCGCGACGGCAGCGCAGGCGCTACTGCAGTTGCTGCCACTTCTCGCAGACAACCGCCATCACGCCGCAAATGAGACATGTGATTGGATGCGCACTTGCGACGGTGCTTGTAGTCTTTGGACTGTATGTGTGGGCGTATGCAGTGGTGGTGGTCCGCTTCGAGCCGGCGGTCGGTGAGTGGAGTTTGGCAAGTCCGCCAGATGCGTTGCTTGGCAACCGAGAGGGCCGAGGCGGGCCGTACGGCTGGCGGCTCATCCGGCGTGTGGCACGATCATCCGCCATTGCTGCTGGTCATGATCGAGTGTTCATGGCATCGATCGACGCTGCGGGCATTGCCGAAATCCGGGTCGAGGCTAAGCCTGAGGCAGAGGCTGCCAAGGAGATCCTGCCCGAGCTGGATGCGGCGGATGACGGCGCGGCGGCAACGTGGCTCCTGCATGATGACGCTGGATGGTCGGATCGGCGGTTTGTGGCTAACACTGAGCCGCAGAGCTTGGTCTGGCTCGGCGAGTCCCGCATCACCGCGTTGGAGGCCATGGGCGATGGCCGGATGTGGGCGGTGCGCAAGGCTGCGGTCGCGGTCAGCCTCCTCCACACCCGGGCCATCAGGCCGGGTCAGGCGGTGCCGGCCTCATCGGCAGTGATCGATGTACATGCTGCACTGGCGGCGCCAGTGGCACTGACCTACGTCCGTGCCTACGGCAAGTACCCGGCCGAGCTGTATGTGGTGGATGCGTCGTGGAAGTACCGCCCGCGCAACATTGATGACGCGCGGGTGCCTGAAGAGCTGGAAATGCGCGGTCACGGGCGGGTGCTGGCGTACGATCCCCAGCAGCGTGTCTCGCGGTGGGCTATCGCCCGCGAGCTCTACTTTCCGCTGGGAGTGGCGGCGGCGGACGATGGCGCGTATGTGCTGGTGACTGAGGCCACCAAGGCGCGAATCAAGGTCATCGATCGGAGCGATGACGAGCGGTGGTCTGTCTTTGTGGACGGGCTGCCGTGCGAGCCCGGGGCGATTTCGCCTGCGCCGCCCGCTGCCGATGGCTCTCCGCAATGGTACGTCGGGTGCGTCGGCGTCCGCGGCGGATGGCTGTCGCGGACGCTGGCAACATCGAGACTGGCCAAGTACCTGGCGCTGGCGGTACCGACGACGATGCTGGATGCCGCCCGCGAGTGGGTGGACGGTTTCCGGGCTGCGCGTTTTCTCGTGGTGCGGATTGCAGACAAGTCGCAAGGCCGCATCCGAGGCGCTGTGGTCGAGGTTCACTCGGTGCCGGCAGAAGCCGGTCTGGACTCAGTCGGGCAGGTCGTGGCCTCGCCGCATCGACGCGATCGGGTGTTTGTGCGATGCGCGCGGACGCTGCGTGTGGCTGAGCTCGGTCGCCACGAGCGCGGCTGAGGGGAGGGAGAGAGTTTACGGCTCCGAGTCGATGCCTGTAGCAGCAAGGATGCGGCGGGCTCCGGCGAGGACGGAGAGAGTACCGGCTTCGACGCCTGCTTCGGCGGTGGCGACGGCAGCAGCGTCGCGTTTTGCAGCGCGGAGCAGCTCGTCCTGGACGACAGCCCAGAGAGCAGCCTTTCGTTGGCGGGCGCGGCTGGCGAGCAGGTCGCCCGATGCAATGCGGGCGTCGAAGAACGACCCGATGTCGGTCCAGAGGCGGTCGAGGCCGCGGCCTTCTGTGGAAGAGATGGTGCGGACGGGCGGAGCCCAGTCTGGGTACTTGCGGTGCATGAGCTTGAGGGCGGAGCGGTACTCTGCCCGGACGATGTTTGCGGAGGAAGAGAGGTCGCCATCAGCCTTGGTGACGACGACCTCGTCGGCAAGCTCCATGACGCCACGCTTGATGCCCTGCAGCTCGTCGCCGGCACCGGGCGAGACGAGGAGCATGAACATGTCGACTACGTCTGCGACGGCGTACTCGGACTGGCCGACGCCGACAGTCTCGACGAGGATGACGTCAAACCCTGCGGCGTCGCAGACGGCGATAGCGTCCGAAGTGTGGCGGGCGACGCCACCGAGCGTCCCGGAAGATGGGGTGGTGCGAATGTAAGCCTTGGGCTCGCGGGCAAGCTCCATCATGCGGGTGCGGTCGCCGAGGATGGAACCGCCGGTCCGTGCCGACGACGGATCGATAGCGAGGACGGCGAGCGAGAGGCCTGAGCGGATGAGCCACATGCCAAAGGCTTCGATAAAGGTCGACTTGCCTACACCCGGCGCGCCCGAGATGCCGAGACGGATTGAGGGCCGGCCCGAGGCCCGCGGATTAGGCGCCGCCTCGAGACGGGCAAGCAGCTCCTGGGCCTTGACCTGGTGGTCAGGGCGGGAAGACTCAACTGCGGGCAACGGTAGGACGGATGTGAGAGAGAGACAACCAAGTTGTCGCACTGACGACCGCGATGAGGGTCACTACCAGCACCACCCTTGATCATCGCCAGCATCATCGACATCGGCATCATCATCGACATCATCATCAGCAGCATCATTGCCAACACCGCCATCACCATCCCCCCTCCCCCTCCCCCCCATCGGACGTACTCACAGTAACAGCTCGCGAGAGCGAAAGACGATGTCCAGCAGCGACGCCTTTGGCAAGGGCATCGACATCGATGGCTGTGCGGCGGCGGGCAGGGGCGGGCGCTGACGAGGTGGCGGAGGCTGGCGCTGACGAGGTGGCTGAGGAGGAGAGGAGAAGGGCGTGGTGGACGATGGAGGAGAGTGGGTGGTGGCGGAGGCGGCACAGACGGAGCATGGGGGAAGGGGGGTGAAGTGGGAGGGAGGGGGAGGGGGGGGGGGGGGGGCTGGGGGGTGGCTGGGGTGAGGGTGAGGTTGAGTTGGCGGGCGAGTCGGCGGGCGGGCGGCAGTGGGCAGGCAAGACGGGAAGAGGTTGGTCTTCAATGGGGCGGCTCCTTGCCAATGGCAAGGAGGCCAGCAGGCGGCGCAGGGTGGAGCACCGCGGAAAGGGGGGGAGGGGAGGGAGTACAGGGAAGAGGTGGCTTGAGGTGGATATGTGCAGAGGGATGCACGACACGATGGACTTACGAGTCCGACGAGTCGAGGGTGGCCGGGGGCGGGGCGGCCGGCTTAGGCGCGGCGGCCGGTGGCGGGGGCGGGGCTGGGGCAGCGGCGGCGTCGCCGGGCATGTCGTCAAACTCGGGGATGAAGCCAAACTCCTCACCGTCGACGGCGACGTGGGTGAGCGGCATGTCATCCTCCTTGTACGTGGCGAGCGTGTCCTCCTCGAAGAGGTAGTCCTTGTCGTCGAACCGGTCGCCGGCCTTGGCGCCGCTGCGGGAGATCTTCCACAGCAGACCGAGGATGAGGAGAACCGCAATGACGACAACAACAATGACCGTGCCAATGACAATGGTCGAGTTGGTGTTGTCCTCCTTGGGCGCAACAGTGCCTTGTCCAGCAGTCGCACTGCCGGCCGGAGGCGACGTTGGCGGCGGCGGCGGAGGCGGAGACGGCGGCGGCGGCGGAGGAGGCGACGGCGGCGGCGGCGGGGGCGACGGCGGCGGCGGCGGGGGCGACGGCGGTGGAGGCGGCGACGGCGGCGGCGGAGGCGACGGCGGAGGCGGCGGCGGCGGCGACGGCGGCGGCGGCGGGGGCGGCGACGGCGGCGGAGGCGGCGACGGAGGCGGCGGCGGAGGCGGCGACGGCGGCGGCGGCGGCGGCGACGGCGGAGGAGGGGGAGCCGGAGACGGCGGCGGCGACGGCGGCGGGGGCGGCGACGGCGGCGGCGGCGGCGACGGCGGAGGAGGAGGAGG